GGAGAGAGAGAGAGAGAGAGAGAGAGAGAGAGAGAGAGAGAGAGAGAGAGAGAGAGAGAGAGAGAGCATGGATGTAGGAGGCCGGGTCCACACTGCCCGGGGGCACTGCCGGCCTCTTGTCCCTACTGATTGTCATATGGTGAGATTAGCCCTCGACCCTACTGAGTGGTCTGACGTTCAGTCTGATTGGCTGCTGCTGGTAGGCGGTCGGGGCAGCGTTAGGGAGTGCCGAGCCAGCGAGCCATAGCTGGATGCTGTTTCGACGGTCAGTCTGACTGCCTGCTGCCATTAGGCTTCTGGAGCAGCGTTAGGAAGTGCGTTCCCGGCAGTGGAGAGTAGTGCCAGCCATCCATAGCTGGATGCTGGGAGAGAGAGATAGTAAAGATTGGCATTAAAAGTGGAAGTCCTTGGGGAAGAGCAGCAGCACCATGTGAAGGGGACAGGCTTACTTCGTTGGTCTGCAGCAGTGGGTCTCTGACGACGCACATTTTTTGATTGGATGCTGTGGACGCAGCCTTGTGTTGACTAGCGTTGGCCAACAGCGGAGATTCACAAGGATAGGCTAGTGTAAACTAACAGTAGGACGAATCTGATCAACACTAGATACAGGAGAAGACCGCATTGTGCCTGAGCTTCATTTTTATTGTTATTGATTGGTGAAGGGGAGAAGAGGGAAAATGTTTCTTCATCAATAGACTTTAATATCGTTATCAATGCTATTAATTCGATACAACACGCAAAACCTTATATTTGTGATCATTGCTTCAGTGTTTCTACTCATTGCTCTGCCGTCGAGTCAATGCTATTAATTAACTGCCAAGTTGAGCCAACCGAGTAGTCAGTCAGCCTAACTGCAGAGCTTAAAACGGTAGAACCTGGCTGCAAGTTCTCAGGTTTTCATGGGGGTTATCACATCTAGTGGTGGTTTGACGGTAATGTTTATTGCCCATAGCGTACAGTAGATTTTGCTCATTTTTTCCGAAAGCCATCTCTCACGGCCTCGATGAGACTGATATGGGTCTCTACCTGCTTTGTGGTCTGTTGCGTTGCGGATAATCGCCTCACGAGTTTAGTCCCCTCTGATGATGGTTGTCCTCTTGTCTAATCGAGTACCCTAGCCCTCCTTGGATGACTGTTCTCTTCTTTTTATATAAAGGTCGACAATGCTAGGCTCTGTCTTTCAGCTTAATGAATGTAGAGCATCAAACACAGCAGAGTGGTCATGTTTGACAGGATGAAGTAATAGCCATAACATAGTGTATGTGGTCCTGAATGCATGCCGTATACTGGTGAATGTGTATCTTGTCCTTACTATCCCAGCTGGTCGGTTTGATGCCGTGGAATGATTGTTCTGATGCTCACGATTTGAAATTTTGATGCAACTGTCTGTATGGGTAGCTTTCTCACACAGTTTGAATGTTTGAGTTTCTTAAAAGCTGGTTGTGGTTGGCCGGTCCAACTGAGTTTAAGTGGTCAAGTATCGGGCATGAAATCAGACTTGTCTCAATCTCGCTTACACATGCATACACGTATGTGCCGATGGCAAACCAACTTCGTCAACTCGGAACCGGCAATGGACTTGCACTGGCGACATGCGTCTACACAGAAAACTCAGAGATATGGCCTCTGGCCAGAAACTCAGCTCAAGTCAACTGTTACAACTTGCGGCTATGGCCGCCGAACACTGTCTGAAGTCCCAACCGAACACTGTCTCCACCATCAGCCTCACTATCACTCACTCATACACACACGAAGATCCACCCTTGAATCTCCACGCATTACACACACATTCTACACTCTGTTGACGTCAGCAGCTTGGTGGCTATGGCCACCGTCGTCTTCCTCCTCTTAACTATGGCCGCCATCATCTTCCTCTGCCCGCTTCAGCTTCGGGCACCTGCAGACCTCGACTGCACAAGTCGCTCCAGCAGCGCTTCCGCATTGTTCACAGGCGAATGAATCCATGGCTGGGCACTGCCTCTTTATTTATACTGTTTCGTTGGTGGTCTGGCCTGCCACCGGTCTCAGGCCCAAATGTGGGCAGCCCCACCTGGTACTTGCTGACTAGACTAGGTAGGACTTGGACTGGGAATGGCTGACTGGACTAGGTATGACTGGGAAACCGCTGACTAAACTAGGTAGACTTACTGACTGACCCCTACAGTCAACCAACGGCTTCTAGAAACTCCTAGCTGACTAAACTGACCCATCGCTAGGCCTTAAACCACCAGTACTTGGCCCAGCTATCGGTCGCGGCGCTTTCCCGTTAACGCGCCGCGCCTTCAGGGCTTCGGGCTACCGGACCTCAATGGCTGGAAGCGCCAGCCAAAACAATTTTGAAACGGTACCCCTGCGCTTCGGTGAAAATCGGTGCGCAGGGGCATTCCAGGCTCGGCATCGATAGCTGGGCCAAGTACTGGTGGTTTAAGGATACTTCCCACTTGCTACCTCGGCTGCGGTTAACTTTCTTCTGGAAGAACATGGGCTACATCGATAGACTGCATCCTAAAACAACTGTTCGTACGTGCTACACTATGTGGCACCCAAGGGCTGGGATCCCGCGGCCTAGAAGGCAGCCTAGGAGGCCGGCCGTTGCCCCGCAACCTAGGCCGCGTGGTCGAGTTTTTTCTGCGGCCGTGCCACACGCAGGTGGAGCCGCGCGCCACGATTTATCGGCTGCGCATGGCGTCCCCTGCCAGAAACAACTAAGGACAAAAAAAAAGTGAATGTGGTGGGGGGGGTGCGTTTTCAGATGGGTAAAATTATAAAATAATAATAATAATAACCCCCAAACAAAGATAAGCATTTTTTAATTTATTTTTCTGTTTGTGTGTGT